TCGAATGAATAATAATCAATCTTTAATATATCATATTAATTTTCCAGCTGACAAGACGTGTTTACTTAAAGTATGTTTTAGCCCAAACTACAATCAAAAGTCATACAAGTAGGAAGCTAGCTAAACAAATGTTTTTCTTCAGAAAATGCCTGTACAAAGTGAGGATTATGACAATGTTTTGTCCATTTGTTTCGTTGATTGATATAGTCGAGCGTTTAATTCTGTCAGGTTTGAAGGAATTCCACCTTTTTTAATTTACCTTGGAGGTGGGTATTTTGTTAATTCTTTTTGGATAAGAAAATATATTAAACATATGAACACATAAAATCAAACGGACAAAACAGATCAACAAAATCATCAAAAATGCCTTAGAAAGTTGCAAACTGAGAAACATAACGCAAACTTTTACAAATTTATAATTAAATGTAAATCTTCCTCATTTCCTATCCAATCCCCTTTATTTAAAATTATATACATGTTTGTAAATATCCAAATCACAATTATAAAATATTTACACAAACATTTTAGTTGTAATGCAATCAATGGTAACCGTTCTGTATCAGCCATCCCTGATGATATTGATACCAAATTCGAACAGAAAAAAAAACGCAATCGGCATTAAGTATATATCATAAATTGTATATGTATTAATTTTTCAATATCACAAATCTTATCAGCACTTGATCAGTATAATCTCTCGAGCACATATCTCGGGATAGAGTATAAATCTTCGGTTAATATGCGTGTGAGTAAGAAAAAAATGTATAATATTCTCGTTATCGTATATCTTACACTTAACCCTTTAAATTTAACATGATGCATTATTAACGTATAAAGCCATGTGTGGTTTCAAATATACCGCCCACGTTGATACATAAACATAAGAAAAAATCAGTTAATTAAAAACTGTAATAAAAGAACTTTGTCCTGCTTATGTGTATATATCGTCAAAATAGCACTCGTGACAAGTTGAACTCAAATCAATGATTTATTACTATTATTCCCTCAGTTTCCATATATATTCTTATATATTATAGAATATCTAGTTCACAACAAGTATTTATGGAATCATTTAAATAATCAAAATCAAAAGCCATGATATTTCTTCTTAACTTCAGGAAATTTTTACTAATGCGAATTTATCTATTTTAAGGGATAACATATATATCTAAATAAAGGCAACAGTAGTATACAAACGTCAACATACATAGAAAGGGACTTTTTGATAACATCTGCCATTTTCCTGATTTGGTACACGACATTTTAAGCAAAATGGTGGGTTGAACCTGGTTGTATGGCTAGCAAAACCTCCTGCTTATAAGGAAATGTTAAAAATACCGCTAAAATGACAACATTACGTGACAGGTATATAGTACAAATCAACACAAGAACACTCAGGACAGAAAAATACATAAATGATTAATATAATAGTACATTACAACATGTAAACCACAAAATAACAACGGACAACCCATTAATTTACGACAATACACCAGTACACCACAAACAAAGAGTAAATGCATTTTTACTTCATACCGTTCTATGTATTCAAAATAGTCTTCTACATGTAATGCCTGTCCCAATTTCTTCTTTAATCGTGGGACGATATGGTGCTTAACATTTTGTATAGATAGTTGTTTATTGATGAAAACCATAAAAAAATACATGTACGATGAAACTGGAATGTCTTGATGTTGTGTTTTTAGGATACACATTTTCATTTATTCAAACAATACTTTGAGTATTTAAAAAACAACACTGTAGTATCAATGTTTCGATATTGTGTTTATTGAAGTATCAAAAGACATATAAAGAAGATATAAAATGCAAATACACAAATACATGTAGGTGCTTGATATCAGATAAATTTGCAGATTTATTTCGTTTGTTCACAACACTGAATTCAGTTGATATGAAAGAAGACGGGAAAATGACAAACAACCCAAGTCAAAATTAAAAACAAATTAAATCATTCTTAAAAATTAAAATTAAAATTAAAAATTCTTCTATTTTACAATTACACACTAACGACACAATCTCTGAAACGTCAATATAAAATCACAAAAGAATTATAATTTTAGGTTTTTTAGGAAGATGACTATATATTTATCTGACATACTTGTGTCATTGAATATATCTATATTACTAAATGAATAGAGTTGAAATTGGGTTTCGCGTTTTCTTCTTTCACATAAAATCCACGAATATTATTTTATTCCAAAAAGGGGTAATAACCAGTGTAGTTTATTATGTGTTCATTTCAAGATCTTTTGGGAGGTATTTGAGAGTTAAAATCGGGAAAAAGCCAGATCGGATCGACCGTCCTTCACGAAGTCCAAAAAATATTCTTCTGCGGAACGGAGCATGTTTCGAATTTTTTTTGGGTAAATTAGCAAAAAATTACGTGCGGTCGTCATTTCCGCTTTGTCTGCAAGTATTATGGTCTGCTCAGCAAAAAGTATACCCTAAAGGGTGGGGTGATTATTTCGGTTTTTGGTTAAAAATAGGTACAGAAGTGCGGCTGGAATGTGACCCCCATTCATAATTTTTTATATTAATGCATAAAATTTTCAGCCCACTCATATATGTGGGTGGTTCTGAGCACGAAAACACCTGAAATCAGATGCGGATTGACCTTACACTGAAAATCTTTGTGATACACATGTCCGTGACGCAATTTAACAACAGAGTTTTACACGTCAAGAGCTTTTCCTGCCGGGGAACCGCAGCAATTCAACATGAAAAGGGTGGAGGGATTACTTCGGTTTTCAGTTAAAAATGGGTACAGAAGTGCGGCTGGAAAGTGACCCCCCCCCCCCCTTTCATATTAATGCATAAATTTTCAGCCCGCTCATAAATAGGGGTGGTTCTGAGCACGGAAACACTTGAAATCAGGTGCGGATCAAAACTATATATCTTCAAATTATGAACCAAAGTATATTTCGCGATTATTTTCTAGTATTACAGATTTAACACGGAAATTTTAGTGCATACATATTATTTGATACGTAAAAGCATAATAAACAGATGTGTTTAAATATGACATGGCTATAATCGTTCGGGGAAAATCTACTGTATGTGAAAATTTTACCTTTAAATCAAATATTCATCAAGCTATCTGGTATTTTTACAATTGAACATTGAAATTATATTCTTAAACAATGCTGTTTTGTAAAATTTACCCTTTTCATGAATTATTCAGCCATAAAATAACAGTAAATTTAGCAAAATATCGAAATTATTCCAAATTTTGACTTTTTGGCTAGTACAAGCTGAGACTAAACTTAGAGCAACACTATCGCATATGAAGATATTTAAGCAGAAAATGCAGTTTTGTTGCTATAGTGACTGGCAAACAAATAGATTGGACGACGCTTGTCCTCTATATCAATCCAGTCAAAATATATTTATAAGTATTTTTATTTTGCTATCTGACAAATCTTGATTATGAAACACGTAACATTCAAATTGCGCCATCTAGGCATGACTAATGTATTTGTATATTTACTCTTTGTGAAAAGTGATTTTTGCTTATATCTGAAGCATGTGGTAAATTTTACATCAAGTTATGCTTTTAGTTTTCGAGAGTAGGACGCTTAGACTCACCCCCCCCCCCTTTCCCTAACATGATTTGTTCATACAAGTGAGCGGTTTAGCTAGCTATATTTTGTATTTGCATTGTATCATAGATCAAATTTATTTGTTCAGTGTATGTTCACTGGTGTTAATATGTCTTTTGATTGAGTTAAGCCATTTCAATTGATATTTTATAGTGTGTTTCTCTATGTTGTGATGTTACACTATTGTTTCAGATAAGGGTGAAAGTTTGGTACCATTAAAACGTTGAAACCCGCTGCAATTGTTTGCACCTGTCCTAAGTCAGGAATCTGATGTTCAGTAGTTGTCGTTTGTTGATGTGGTTCATAAGTGTTTCTCGTTTCTCGTTTTTTATATTGATTAGACCGTTGGTTTTCCCGTTTGAATGGTTTTACACTAGTAATTTTATAGCTTGCTGTTCGGTGTGAGCTAAGGCTCTGTGTTGAAGACCGTAATTTGACCTATAATGGTTTACTTTTATAAATTTTGACTTAGATGGAGAGTTGTCTCATTGGCACTCATACCACATCTTCTTATATCTAATTAATCCATTATTTTTTACACAAGGAAATGTCTGTGCCAATTCAGGAATATGACAGCTGTTTTCCATTCATTAATGTGCTTGAGCTTTTGATTTTGCCATTTTATAAAGGACTTTCCGTTTTGAATTTCCTTTGGAGTTCGGTATTTTTGTTATTTTACTCTTTATTTGGACTTTAAAACTGTTTTGATTCAAGTTTCGAACACTACTGCTACAGCCGAAACGCGTGTCTCGCTTATTAAACTATATGCCTGGTATCTGTGATTATGTTTACAGGAACTGACTGGATGCCACCGCGCCTGGTAGTTTCGTTGCAAACGGTATCAACAGCCCGAAAACCAGTACTTATGTGTACACATGGATTATATTTGAAACAGTCATTGTATGAAAAAAAAATTATAAAATGATGAATTATCAACAAACTATAGTTTATCGTAAGGCCATCAATAATAAGCGAAACCGTAAAGAAAAGAAAATGTTATTCAATTTTATAGAAAATATAACAACCTGATTTATACTACTTTCATAATTGTTGTAAACAACAAATGAAAAACAATTACTAGATAACATGTTCCTGACTATAGACATGTATATAATAACCATGACGGTGCATGCTGAAAAGCAAGGTATTATAAAACAATAATTCAGTGGAGGCCGGACAAATGATATTCAATAGGCTTGATTGTGCTGTAGAGTTGCTATGTTGACATTTCGCATACACTAAGGTGTGCCATACATGTGTTAAAGATTTTCAAGTCTTTCTGTCTTTCCTTTTCCCTTTTTCTTTCATTTATTTAATGTTCTCGTTTAGTTATGTTCTTCATTATACTTATGTGTAATCTAGAGGATGAAAGAACGAATGTAAAAACAAAATGTTTTATTGCATTTCACAAACATTTAATCAAATACAATACTCGGAAGATAAGTCATGGTCAACGAAAGTCAAACATAAAAGAATTTATTTTATTATGTTTGATTTGAGTTGTCCATCTTTATATAACATTTTATATCAGATCCATGTCAGTTTGTTTTTGATATTTTTAAAACTTGACTCATACAGAAGAGGTGATATAAAACCCATGTATACAGCACATATATAACCGAAGAAACTATGATTAAAAAAAGGCTTGTACATAACCATATCAACCTATATGACAGTTAGACAATTCCAACTTTCATGCAGATGCTACATGTGCTATCATGTGTTGACTGGTATTTCATATTTTTGTTTTATTGGTACATGGTTGTCAAAAAGTCTTTAAAGCCAAAAACGTCAAATATTCGAATGCGTAAAACCCAAAAGGATATAAATAGAAGATTCTAAATTGTTATAGTTCAAATTTACTTATGGGAATTCCTACTTTTAGTAATTGTGCAATTGAATACAAGTTGTATCTATCTAAGATACAACTTGTATATTGTGTAAAAGCTTTAAAGAAATCAAATAAGATACATGTTACATTTTTATACAAAAACATTTCTTTACAATCTACATATTTTGACAAAAACACAAATTCCAATTATAAAATGTTTATTATAAAGTATAAACAATATATCTATTTACTGAAATTCAAGCATAAAATATTTGTGTGTGTACAAAGTCTTCAAGGTACAGGTATACCTACGTTTAAGATGCAGAAGGTCGTGTGTGGTATCATACAAACTATAAAAGAAGGGCGAAAGATACCAGAGGGACATCCTATGAAATAAATCAACTTAATTCAGAAAAATACAAACTAAAACATTGACGATAGAGTTAAGTTAAAGTAAATAACTAGTCAAAATAACACTCGTGACACCGCAAATGAAAGGATTATAAAAACTGATGGCTAATTCTTCACAACCACTTTCCATTGATGATTCTGGAATAAAAATAGACATGATTATAAAAAAAAGTATGAATAATGAACAAATATTACAATAGAAACTGAATTGATTTTCATATCTGTTATTAAATGATGCAATTTACCATAATTTCACTCAATAATAATTTCTAAATCAGTAGACAACTATTGTGACGTCAAAATTATATTAAAAGAAAGAAAGGCTCGACCAATTGTTTTTGCGGTATAAGCATTCAAAAGTGCTGTGTTATTTTCTCTTTCTAGGCAAACATATGTGCAGAATTTACATACGATACGCATATGAAGAGATTAATGTCAAAACGGTTCCATATTTTTTATATGCTTTTTTATTGCAAAGTTTTTTTTTCCGAAATACAGTATGTCTGCATACATGATATATGTCTTTGTATGAATTTGAAAAATTCATTATGAGTTTAACTGATATTTGTTAATGTTTGTTTTTTTAATTTTTTAAACACAATAAATAATTTGTGTTATTCAGAAATTGACATATTGTTTTTGTTTGTGTTTCCGTTAATAGACATAGACCCCATAAATTTTTTTGTCATGTTTTATCAAAACAACATTCACCCTAAAACTGATAATTATTCAGATAAAACTTTGACATAAATTTCAAAACATGACACCATTCAATCCCTTTACCTGAACTATTACTGTTATCTGCAGTTACGGCATCTACCACAGTGACTGTCGATTGTTCCGTTGTTGTCTCTGCGTCAGTTTTTGCAGTACTTGTTAGAGATTCGGTCATTGCTAACGATTTAGTTGTTGTTTCTACAGTCATAGTTGTAGTTTGAATTTCGGTTGATGTGTAAACTTCAGTTGTAGTAGTTCCTGTTAATAAAAACACTTTAGACTAATTTAAGAACTTGTATCTTTTGTCTTGCCACTAAGATCATTTATATTTGACAGATATTTGGTATTCTCTATAATTTATCTTTAATATTTAAGAAATTTGCCAAAATGACAGCTTGACATATTGAATAGATGCTTGACTATGTCGACGATCACATGTTGTTTTAAAGATGTCACGGGATTTTAGCACATTTGCCCAGCGTCACATTTCATTTGAACTTATTGATCTTACATCTTAAAAATCTGTCCTTCTATCATTTTTTTTATTTTACAAATTAAGGTCTCTAGTAAGACTTTCTGTATTTTATAACAAACGTATAATATATACTACACTGTTTATCTGTGGACGTTACAACATGTATTTCGTCGTGCTTTAGTTCTTCTTTGTATAAATAATATGAGACATGGTGTAAACGTGAATAAGAAGACATTAAAACGCCAAAAAAAATCAAGAGACATTAGAGGGCAACATATTTTCTTCATCAATAGACAGGTCGTGGTACAAAATGTCTAACTCTAAATCGAAAAACTGCATCAGGTGTAAATGAATTTAACGTAAACAAGCAAGGAACTGACCTTAAATCTCAATGTTCGACTCGCAAAAAACTATTAGGATATGACATTAGAGAATAACTGACGAGATACTATCATTTAGTTTTTCTTCTTTTCTCATTATGGTGCTTTTTCGCTGTATAGTTCATACTAAATGTGTCATTTTTTTTCATTTAATGTAACATGACAATACGCTCGGTAACCTAGCATTTCTATTATATTTTTGAACGTGTTTACTTTTGTACTACATTTTGACATAGCATTTTAGTTTGTACTTCCATGAAAACTTAAGGGAAATTGAAAATTTGGAGAAATAGTATTGAATATATATTGAAACAAACTGCGATTACTATTTTATAGCATCTCCTGTATTTTTGCATGTGCAGTACCGATTTAAAAAAACAAAAAAAAAACAAAAAAAAAACAACTCATATTATTCATTTAAAACTCGCAGTATAACTCTGTCATTGCACTTTAAGATTTTGACATAATTATAAAACATCTGTTGACAATTTATCAATTTATAAATGTTCATTGATTTAATACTGAATATATTAATGGAAATCTTGATGAATTTAGAAAAAAAATATTTTCGACAGTGTATCTATGTATCGTTGTAAATACTAAATGATGTGATTTCTCGCGTATATGCGTCATCCGAAGATTTGGTTTTAAAATTGCAAATTGGAAAAATTCTTTCACTATTTGCACCTCCAGCCATATATGTGTTTGTCAGGCTAAATATCAACGAATAGGTATATTATTGAACACTGAGAATTTCGCTTTTTAAAAGTATAGTAGGAAGGTTTTAATACAACAAAAAAGATTTAACTCACCATATATATTCTCAATCGTAATCATGTAAACCAAGATACCATAGGCTATGATGTAAGTTATAATCTGAAATGCAAAGACCATACTAATACATTATTACAAATTACTTTTGGGTAATATGAAAATGATAACTTGGACAGAACAGGCGATTATGATTCGGATCCATGGTTAGGACTTTGATATTTTACAATGAAAGGAAGTTGTAAATGTATAGAACAATGAAAATTCAATTTGGTTCGTTTTAGAGTAGGAAAATGCTGCTGTCAACAAAGCAAATAGATTTCTTTCCACATTAGTACTTTTCGAAGATACCAAAGGGATATTCAAACATAAAACTGTCAACGACAGACTGACAACCCATGGCAAGAAACCGAAAAAAAACCACTTAAAGATACACAACAGTATTCAAAATAAAATATGGAAAACTAAGTACTTAGCAACACGAATCTCACCAAAATCGGCTGGATCTCAAATGCTCAGGAAGGGAAAGCAGATCCTTATCCACATGTGACACCCGTCAAGTTGTTCAGACATAGTTGTTTCGAATTTGTAACATAAAATCATGTCTAGCAAACAGTAGATAATATTTGCAAGCAAACAATGAAATAATTAAGGAATTACATCATGTACATCTGACTAAAATTAAATCTCGTATTGAAAAAAAAAAATGTCTTTTATCAAACGATTTTCTGAAATGTTTTTTTCATTGGTTTTTTTTCGGGACATCACAAATCTATAAATAAAGCGAGCGTGTGGATGGAAGACATAGATAATCACATAACTGATATTCATTATGACATCATTTGCATTTACATAAAAAGGAGCTTTTTCACTGAATTAGTTAAAAACAAAGAAAAAACAAAACATGAAATAAACATGTAGTTTATCTCTAATTTATTGACAATCTTTTTTTTTAAAATAATGTAGATTTTAAAGGGAACATCAAATATTAACAATTACGATGAAAAATATTTGAAATATATTTTATTATTGTCACTCTTATCGTTGGTTAGTTTGATAACACGACTGACTCACCATATTGCCTCCAGATCAGACTGACGTCGAGTAAGTATAAACGTACATATGAATATTGTTTACTTTGTCATGTTATTATTCACGTAATCATTTATCAAAATATCAGTTAATGAACCGAATTATGATAATATCATGGCATAAGATTCTGACACGTACTAGAGTAAATCGATACTGATTATTTAATGAATTAAAAGATTCCGACACAGAAGTAATGTGATAGCCAGGAATTATTAAATTAATTCATTAGCAACGTTTAAAAAGGATAATATCACCAAAAGTATGTTTTTTTTATAATCAATATCATGAGATGTTAAATAATTGGTATTCTAATTTTAATTATGTTATAATATAAGATGACTTGATTTCCATATGACTGCGGTAAATGTAGCAGTCATACTCAGCACTATACAATGCAAAGCACATGTTTCTACTTGAGGTTTTAAGGTTCTTTTAGCCAAAGTAAATAATCCTCCTTGCTTTTTGTTTACTCTCGAGTTGTCGTGATAGTGATATCTCTATGAATATTTTTGGTCTGATACAATTTCGCAGAAAGATTTAATTTATGGAAGGGTTGTGTACGAAATGTTTCTCCTATTGTAGCGTAAACGCTCAAAGAGAAAGCTCATCCCTATTTAATATATGATCAAACCTTTCATACTTGAAGTATTAATAGTGCAAGCAGGGAGATACTTCACTACAGCAATATTATACTTTGCTCCTTGTTATCTTAAAAAAAGAAATGAAAACTCACATTTGTATTTGATATATTGTTTGTTTCAAAGGGTAAACATGACAGATATAAATTGATGCATTTCCTTTTAAAAAATTCTAGTATAGAGAATAATTATAAAACTATTCAAATTGAGGTAAGTATACATTTTTCTAGTCAAATCTATTAATAAATAATAATATGCCATTCTTCTTTAGTTTTGGAAACAAAGCCATGTTCTAATTCGAATAAAACATGGGCTGCACGTGATTGACGTCACAATCAAAATTGAAGCGTCAGTTGTTCTTTAAACAACGCCGACGGAGATCAGAATGGACATTTGTGCAGGTGCTGCTCTTTTATTTTAAATAAACTCATTCTTAAAGTAAGTTTACATGTATCATTTTCAATCGCGAAAAGGACATTTTTTTTTAATTTCGTTTTGGCTTCATCAAATCAAAATGACAGCCTTTCGAACGTGTATTATAGATCCGGTTCAGAGGATAAAAGCTCTAAATTTTCCTATTAGAATCGAAATAATTCTATCATGCCATGTTCTATGCTTATTTTAACATAGGTAGGCATTATATTTGTCAACATTTTACACACGCTAATGCTCGGTATAAAGATATTGACAAACATAATGCTTACCCATGTTTAAATGAGCATAGAGCATGGCATGACAGAGTTTGTTTCTTAAACTTCTAATTGTCATTTTATGGAAAATATAAATTGTCGTATAATAATTCTAACATACTTACATAGTATAGTTGCTTGGAAAGGATTCGAGAAAAAATGAAGTTGATGATTTATTTTCAAACGCAAAGCTCTTTCCAATAAAATTGAGAATGGAAATGGGGAATGTGTCAAAGAGACAACAACCCGACCATAGAACAGACAACAGCAGAATGTCACCAACAGGTCTTCAATGCAGCGAGAAATTCCCGCACCCGGAGGCGTCCTTCAGCTGGCCCCTAAACAAATATATATATACTAGTTCAGTGATAATGAACGCCATACTAAACTCCAAATTGTACACAAGAAACTAAAATTAAAAATGATACAAGACTAACAAAGGCTAGAGGCTCCTGACTTGGGACAGGCGCAAAAATGCGGCGGGGTTAAACATGTTTATGAGATCTCAACCCTCCCCCTATACCTCTAGCCAATGTAGAAAAGTAAACGCATAACAATACGCACATTAAAATTCAGTTCAAGAGAAGTCCGAGTCTGATGTCAGAAGATGTAACCAAAGAAAATAAACAAAATGACAATAATACATAATTAACAACAGACTACTAGCAGTTAACTGACATGCCAGCTCCAGACTTCAATTAAACTGATTGAAAGATTATGTCTTCATCATATGAATATCAGGCACAATCCTTCCCGTTAGGGGTTTAGTATCATACCATCATAACATATATGAGAAGAACATAACCCGTGTCATGCCAACAACTGGTTTTTAAATAAATGTGTTTAGTGCCGATGCAAAGACCCTATAAGTGAATCAATATTTACGCCAAAATATGCAATCTTTAATGACCTGACAACAGTATCGTAACTATATCCCTTCTTAATAAGTATATTTAAAGGTTTTGTTAGCTTCAGAGGTGAATACTGACATTTTTGTGCTTTATAAAGAATATTTCCATAAACAATTGGATGTGAAATACCTGAACGTATAAGAAGTCTGCAAGTTGAGCTATATTTACGAATGATGTCCTTATACCGATGATAAAATTTAGTAAATGTTTTGACTAGTTTGTGATATCGAAAACCCTGGTGTAATAATTTTTCAGTAATACATAAATTTCTCTCGTTAAAATCTAAAACATTGTTACATACACGAGCGAATCGTACAAGTTGAGATATATAAACACCGTAAGATGGTGACAAGGGAACGTCACCATCTAAAAATGGATAATTAACGATAGGAAATGAAAAATCATCTCTTTTATCATATATTTTAGTATTAAGCTTTCCGTTAATGATATAGATATCAAGATCGAGGAAAGGGCAGTGGTCATTGTTAGTATTAGCTTTATTTAAAGTAAGTTCAACAAGATAAATTTCTTTAGTATACATACTGAAGTCGTCATTATTGAGAGCCAAAATATCATCCAAATATCTAAAAGTATTATTAAATTTGTGTATCAGATGTTGTTTCGATGGGTCTTTGCTGATTTTTGTCATAAATTGTAACCAAGACTGCACAAGAATCTGTCGGCAAAACAAAATTCCAAATCTAACAAAAATAGTGTAAATAGAGACCGAACTCTAGGGTAATTTCTTTGGTTCTTTAAATAAATACCAAACGATCGAATTTATCTACCAACAGAACGACAGGAAAACAACTGTCATATATCTGTTTTGGTACAGGCATATTACGAAATAAAAAAAGTTGGGTTATGTTGGTATTATAATAGCTGAATCTCCCACTTGTATGAAAGTTGTTTTTAGTTCTGCCATATTGACAAACTAGCGTGAGCCATCCAAACAAACATAATTTGTTCACCTGACAATAATTGGGATCCAGCACCTAAAATTGTGTAAACATACATCATAAATATACAACACAACTGAAGTCTGAAATGTTTATATACCAGTATAGCTGTTTAATCTGCAAATTGACAGATTGTGTACTAATTCACATTCCAATATATCTACTGAGTGCGGATTTGCATGACGGGTGATGTATTCATAGCTGGAGTTATCTTATCCGCCGATTTTTCGATATCGCTTATCAAGATTTCAAGCGAATCCCCCAGGTTATATTATCACGATTTATGTCTTCTAACTGACTGTACGAGGTTTGAACCTCGGTAACCTTATATTGACTGAGATTTACACCCATACATATGACAAATACGTTCAAACAACAATTAAATACTTGAACATTATTTTTGACACTGAATTTATAGTACGTTCTATTGTAATTATTGATAAATAAGAGATATATGTACTGTTTATAAAATACGTTTTATGAACTCAATAATTAGATTGATTTATATTTTGATGTAGTGGAGATATGTATTGAAACGATTTCCTGATAGGCATTTACATAATACAATTTTATATTTTTTATTGGTTTGCTATTTTGATAGATATTGACATTTGATTGGTCACACAAACTATGCCTTTAACTAGGAAGTAGACAACCAATGTTGCAGGTGGTAGTAAGTACTCAACGAAAAATACATATGATATACATGCCTTGTATCAATATCTTTGTCGTCCTATTTGTATATGTATTATATTAATTTTATAATTCCTTGGCTATAGATACAGACTGGTTCGGTCGTTCAAAACATAACAATAGTCCACTTGTCCCTGACATTTTGACTGCTTTCCAAGTAATCCGAAGACATTTTGAGGAGATCAGCAAGTTGATTTATTCTGTGGTAGACAAGACATGCATGCGGTCTGATTCTTTGGGACTACGTCAGTCCAGTTAACACATTTGTTCCAGACTAGACTTTAATAAAGGGCTTCTATATGTCAGTGCTGAGGACAGACATATCTGCTTAAACAGACCAGACATGTGAATACTTCTGCTATTGGTCGGTCCTGAGGAAAGGTCAGCTACTGCATGAATATGTAGGCTGGTCTGCTTTTGACAGATCATTGTAATTGGTACTTTTCATACCAGACCTTTAATAACTATTATATGAAAGATAATCATATTATTATATTTTCCATCACAGCCAAATACTGTACGCTCTCTATACACATATCCAAATTTCTTTGTTCATTCATTTTAAAAGACTGTTCAATATTTTAAGTAAAATGAGTAAATGTTGACACTCTAAATTGAAGCTGACAAAAGTTTACCGGCATTATGTGCTATTACTTCTGTTATTTATCTATACAATCAATCCTGAGTAAGTGATTTACGATACCAGAATATAATTGTCTTTATAAAGAACAAGAATGATCAGAGATGATTAATGTGGGCACACATTATAGTTATACAATTTCTAAAATGAAAATAGGAAATTGTGGCACTATAAATAAGCCATAATAGTGTTACACGCACATACAAGAAATGAATTAGTTGACAACAAATGACAATTCATATATTGATCGAAGTGAGACAGAAATCTAGATAACTATTGGGTTGTCATTGGAACACCTTTGAAGAGATAAATGCGTATTTTTATATTTGTCATTATTAAGGATGTTTATAACTCTGTTTCAAACAACCGGCTTTTTAAAAGACTGTTATTGATAGTATACATATAACGGGACTAAAAAATTTGAAAAAAACGCAAGATCCGTGTCCTTGTTTTTGAGATAAAAGGCATTGAAAATTGTGCGGGAAATGATTTTCTTTCGGTTTTTTT